GACAGACCGGATTCTACAGCCTTGGATGGCAACTGGTCTGCCACAGAAAGAAATGGCAGCCTACTGCAGGAAAAAAAACTGCCAGTCATGTATCGAAAGATACATAATCATCAAAGCGTGTATCACGCACGGCACAGAACTGACTGACTGTTTTTTGGTGTCTCTAATTTGTAGTTACTATCTTGGACTGTTCCTTTTTCTTTCAAGTCCACTAGAGGCGAAGAGGGTTTATAAAGGAATGAGTAATGATGAAAGCAACAAAAAACAGAAAGCTGTAGAGGGCCATGAATAAGAGGATTCATTCTGAAAGAGAATAAGAGAGATAGACATTAGAAATATTTTGGAAGAAAAAACAAAATGTGGAATGATGAAAAATTGATATAGAAAAGAAAACTGTTTTCTTGTTGAAGGTTGAGAGTATACCATAGACAGAACATGTGAGAAGCGAGGAAGTTTTACGTCGACTAGAAACTAAAAAGAATTGGTGTTAACTATCAGAAAGCTGTAATTTGCAGGATACCTAATGAGGAAAGAAGGCTTAGTGAATATGACACCCACAGAATTAAGAGCAGCAGACGAAAGCAGAGACAGATGAACTTGATAAGTTTGAGAAAAATGGATTTAGAAACAATTAGCAAAAAGGACAGAACCGGGTTGGAGAAAGTATTTCTGAAAACAACAAAAGACAAGTATCTGTGGAAATCTGTCTGTCGCGCTACGTGTCGTTTCTGACTTCTAATGGGCTATCGGCAATTCCTTGGGAGAGACACCAACGCGGCATCACTGGTTAAATGAATGGCGGACAATTTACGTCAGGTTTTTTATTTACTCAGTATTGGGGAAAATAGTAGGAATCAGAGAGAGAGAGAGAGAGAGAGAGAGAGAGAGAGAGAGAGAGAGAGAGAGAACGAGAAAGAGAAAGAGAGAGAGAGAGAGAACGAGAAAGTGAAAGAGAGAGAGAGAAACACGGATGTCAACAGGTCAACCAGGTACCCATCAGCACGTGGTGGCTTATCTCAGTCTGATGGAACCAAGGTATACCAAAAAATCTGGCATTTTCACTCTGCAACCGTACTCGCCCTTTTCGCGCGTTTTTCGGTCTTATATAAATAAAACCCTACACTATTAGGTTTACACGACCACAAGGTTCAAACCACCCATATTCGGGTTCTTAAAGTTCTCACCAGTACGGTACGGTTTGCTATTTTGGGCTAACCTACACATTCTGTAAGGCATAAACTACATCTTAAAGAAACATGGCACATAGAGAAAGAGAAACACTGACTTGGTCTGTGAAATGAATGCATATGGACACCATCATTGCAACTAATTAGTAATAATAAAGGAATGTCTTCATTCATTCATCATTTATTCAGTGAACACAGTTTGTGCCTCTGTGGTTTTTATTCCTCTCCATGTCACAATTCTTGTTCATGTTGACATTCAAAGCAAAGTACTGCAATGGTTTGCCGGTTCCTTTTGCATCAGGGATGTTAACGTTAGTCCGTCCTTTTCCTAGACTGGTTGCCAACCAAAGCCATAGGGCCCAATGACTCTTGAGTTGAACAGATTAAGATCGTAGTTTTCAGGGAAGCACTTACGCTGATATCTGTTCCACTATGCAGCAGTTCCTGGGAAAACAACTCTTATAATAACGAAATAAATATAAAAAAAAAACCTTTACATTTTGTCCGACTTCTACCGAGCTATCTTTATTTTTATATTGTAAATGTTAGGGTTATCATTTGCTTTCGACGGCTTGATACTATCCCAGTCGCCCAACAGCAATCTCAGAATATTTCAAATTACGACGAGTTCTGGATTGTGTTGGCGTTAATTCTTCGTCAACGTGTTAGAAAGATATTTTTATTTTGATTTTGAATTAACAATTCCCACTGAATATAAATTTTACATGGTATTGTGAAGTGTATGATTCGCGGTTTCCTACTTAAACTCCCAATTCTTCAGTAGTAGAAGGGCTATACATACAAGTACATGCGCTCATATATAAATGAGGTAAGATTTATCTCAATATTACTAATAAATAACAGTATCTCACTACTAAGTAAACCCCACGAGAGAATACCTGTTCATGCATGTGTAGTAAGGCCCACTCTGATTAACTGCTAAGTTACATCAAAACAGTTCAACTGGGCCAGCCGCTTTTAAAATGATTGGAGACATCCTGTTGTGATGTATGTGCTTCAAGGTTTCCTACTAGAACACCGCCTTCCTCAGTAGTAAAAGGGCTACATATGTAAGTAAAAGCACTCATATGTAAATGAGGCAAAACTTATTTCAAAGATATTACATTCGTCTTTAAAAAGAAAAAAATGGTGTTTCAACTTCTGGTTTAATTTATTCAAAGAAAAATTATTTCTCTGTTAAATTCCATAGTTATGTTTTGCCCCTCCTTTTCTTAAAACTTCCACGAAACTCTCATATTCCGTCCATGGTATCCTCATCATCCTTCTGTAGAACCATATCTCTGTTGCCTCAAATCTCCTCTTCTTCTGTGAGGAAATTGTCCAGCATTCACTGCCATAGAGGAGGACAGATGTTACATAGTAGTTGATCGCTCTTATCTTTTTTTCCAATAACATCTTCCTTAACATTTTGTTAAAATATTTTGAAGACATATTTTGTTATTCCAATGTGCCTTCAGTTTCCATCATCTGTTAGAATACTTCCCGGGTAGTTAAATTTCTGTACTTGCATTATTTTGAAGTTGGTGTAATATGTGTGCTTCAAGGATTCCTACTAGAATACTGTCTTCCTCAGTAGTAAATTGGAAACTAGGTTTTACTGTTCAACTAGCTAGGTACAACAGCTACTTCTACTCTAATAGTTTCTTTTCTCGCACTTCCCGCTTGTGGAACTCCTTCCCGATTACTTTCTTCCCAGATAATTACAATCTTTAAAAAATTAAATCCAACATCAATCGCCATTTTCTGTCTTCTTGAACCCTGTTCTTTTTTCTCTTTTCTTCAATCCTTTCCATTCTCAGCATTCTCATTCTTTTTCACTTTCACTCCTTGTAGAACGCTGCATTATAATGACATTATTGTCTTGCTTGATGATTAAAACAATTCATAGACTTTCGGCAATTTCTTTCTTGGCTTAAAAATAAATTCTAAAGATTGAGACCGGGCCTCAGCATGAATTTTCTGCCCAGTAAGAATTGGCGAGCTCTAGTAGTGTTCCATAGAATGTCTAAAACTTTTTCTATATATGAATAATTAGTGTTAATCTTCTAGAACGGTAGATTACTGGGAGTCCTTTCTGAGATAAAATAACTGATTTGGAATGTTGCATCTGTGGTTAATGTGAATGTGACATCTTTTTGGGGATAAAAAATCTTCAAAAAAATCTTTATTATTATTTATTTTTTTTTTTTTAGGAAGGGCATATTTTTAATTTTAAAATTTAATATTACATTAGTTCATTTAAAATCAGTTTATGCAAAATAGAATTAATTCTGGATATTTCGGTAAATATATACTGTAAAAATTGACAAAACTTCGAAAGGATTCTAATTCTTTTTTTTTTTATTGGTAGGAGCAGATATATTTAATACATGGTATTATATTGTTAGGGCTTTAGGAATTTCTAATAGTGTTTGCCCTAAATAAAATATAGAATTATATCTATACTTTAGATGGTTGCTCACAGTAGATATACTGTCAGATTTAAATTGAATGAGCAGTGAGTCAGCACCGACCGACAAAAGGTATTTTGACTTGATTGACCCTATTAAACTTCAAATAACTCAATGTATGGGTCATTTATAACAAATTTAGTATAAGAGATAAGGAAATTGAATACCGGATACTTTGCTTTAAGGGCACATTCGTTCAAGACCGTAAGATGCTACGAATGCACACCATTAACCGAAGCAATCGAGTCATATTCTTAAATTGTATCCTCAGATGTAGACTTTTATATGGATTTCATGAATATGGGTACTTCGACGTGATGTAATGGTTAACAAGCTTGTCTTGCTAGATCAATTTCGATTGTTCCTCATATTTTTTCCTTGTGCCACATCTAAACTACCCTTAGAAAATCACCATATGTTTTTACACAGACACACACAAAGTTACATATATACCTATGCATAAGATGTATAAATGGGGCACGTAGACGTGGTGTAATGGGTAGCAATCTTGTCAAGTTCAATTACGACAGACTAGTGAATTCGATCCTCACTGGGTACCACATCTAAGCTACGCTTATTAAATTTCTATATCCATGTATACATCCTCATACATGAATACATAAACAGCTGTCATATATATATGATTATAATGTTTAACATTTTCAATATTTATTGGAAAAGACTGATCAATATTTATTGGAAAGGCGTGTTCAATATTTATAAGCTACGCTTATAAAATCACCATATGTATGTCATGAATGGCGTCTAACTTGTTCAGAAATATCTAAACTGTCAGCGATATAAAGCCGTTTTCTCATATCAATGATTAAAAATGGCTTCAAACGAGTGAACCCTGTAGATCTTAAAGAGGACAATACGTCATCAGATCTCACAGATTGGCGCTACAGAATCACAAACAAAAACTTTTCTAAATAACAGAAATCATATCACCTAAAGACTTTCAACAGTAGTAACAACTAAAATGGATAGCACTCGAAAAGAAAATAATGACATATTCAAGAGGTTTGACTTACTGCATTGGATGCTGAATGTTTCCTTATGATTGTTTGATTGATTTGTTTTCTACTGTTCATCAACCTTTTACAGGTTATTTAAAGCCAGAAAATAATTTCAGATTGTAAGAATTTTTTGAGATAATAATGTTTTAGTGATACAAGTCATACTAATTAATTCAAAACTGGGGGAGAGAAGAGATAGATAGATACCTTTCCGAAGGGTATTTGCGCGTAAGTGAATATAACGAACCCAAATGGAATTGGAACTCCGCTCTCCGATTAACAATTCCTAGCCATTATCAATTACACCACCCGCACATCCAAACTTACAGCACCTAGTATTCCCAAGCAGTCACCCAGCTGGGTACCGAAAAGCCTTGCTTAACTTCGGTGTTCGTACGAAAACCAGTGTTTCAAAGGTGCTGGCCGTAAGCATGTTTCCTTATAAGGAAACAGCTAATCTCACCATTAAACGTCTTTTTTTTTTTTGCTAACCGATGATCTAATTCAGCGGAATCTGTGCGCATGGCGAGAGAGAGAGAGAGAGAGTGAGAGAGAGGAGGGAGGGAGAGAGAGAGAGGAGGGAGGGAGAGAGAGGGGGAGAGAAGAAGAGGGAGAAAGTAAGAAGCAGAGAAGGAGAGGAAGGAGGCTATTTTAGAAGAAGCACGTCCTATTTCCAATCGCATAATCGAGTTGATAGACTCAGAATTGTTGAGTCCAAGGTGGTTCGTCAGACTGCTTGTCTCACGCGATAACAATGCCAGGCTTAAACGAACAACGACAATTCAAAGCAGCCTTGACCGGGTCAGCTCATAATGGTATCTTTGGAAGTACATTGACAAATGCGCGTCCATATGCATGAAGGTGAAGGCGTGTCTGGACCCAGAGGAATTGAAAAGCAGTTATTTCTCAACTTTAACCCCAAATTTAATTTTCTTGTTGTCACTTATTAGGAACACCTTATTTTGTCAGTAGGTCACAGATATGAAGCACCCATTGAGTATCGCAATTAAATCTTGAAGTATTGCTTAATCAGATTATTTCACTAATCAGGTGAAACAATAATCTGGTGAGACACAAATTAAACACACACACACACACACACACACACACACACATATATATATATATATATATATATATATATATATATACGCGCATATTAAAAATCATGATATATATATATATATATATATATATATATATATATATATATATATATAAAATAATTTTATATATATAAATAAAATAATTTACATTACTTTCTCATATGCGCATATATACAGGGTGTCCATAAAGTTTGCGTGCACTTTAAAAAATTTATAACTTTATTTGCATTTGCGATAGAAATAATTTGTAAAAAGGATTAGAAAGAAGTAAATCTATATTTTTTAAGGTTTTATTGAAATTTTATTTAAGTTTCCACACATCTTCCATCATTAGCAATACAAAGGGTAATACGATTTTGCAGTTCACGGAAAACATTTGCCAAATGATATACAGTAATGCTTGAAATCACATTAGTTATTTTAGCTATACTTAAAACTAGGTACATTAAACTTTATAAAATTTTTTACAGATTATTTCTATCGCAAATACAAAAAAAAAAGTTATAACATTTTTAAAGTGCACACGAACTTTATGGAGACCCTGTACACACACACACATATATATATATGTATATATATATATATATGAGAAAGTAATGTAAATGCATCATTTTTAATATGTGCGTATATATATATATATATATATATATATATATATATATATATATATTATTTCTATCGCAAATACAAATAAAGTTATAAATTTTCTAAAGTGCAAACGAACCTTACGGACACCATATATATATATATATATATATATATATATATATATATGAGAAAAGTAATGTAAAATTCATCATTTTTAATATGTATATATATATATATATATATATATATATATATATATATATATATATATATATATATAAAAGTAATGTAAATTTCATCAGTTTTAATCAAACTTTTTTCTCCTTGTAATATGATGCTGAGGATATCATGGGCCAAACATGTGAGCAACGATAAGGTTTTGTAGAGAATGGAAACAAAAAGGAATCTAATACTTAATGTCAGGAAAGGGTAGTTGAAATTTCTGGGCCACGTAATGAGGAAGGATGGCTTGGGAAATCTGATACTCACAGGACAGATAGAGGGAAAGAGGAAAACAAGGCGGGACATAATTGATGGGCTCGAGCAAATGGATGTCAGAACAGGGTTTGGGTGATATAACAAAAAGACAAAACTTATTTAGAGATAAAAAGAAGAAGAAGATGTGGAGGGCCATGATCGCCTACTTCCTGAAGGGAGACAGCACATAAAAGAAGAAAGAAGAACAATATAATAGATCGTAACCTTGCCGTTTTTCGATCTCTTCTAAACTAATTTCCCAAACGACAACAAATTGTTCTTCTTTCGGAGGGTTCAAGTATTCTTGCGGTCTTGGCAATCATGTTAATTCATTATCTTGATAATGGGAAAATATTTCTATTGTATGAACAGCTGGCCTTAGTCCTCTTCATGTTTAACATTCAAATGTCTCGGAAGGGCAAATTGTACGAGACAACCTGCTGACCAATAAAGAAAGGCGACTGAGATAAAAAAAAAAATTGTCACTGGATGTAGGGGTGGGCGGATACCTGACCTCGCCATTGTTCCTCGCTAAGGACTAATTCGTTTTGGAGAATAAATACGAACCCCAGTCTCGTTGATGAAATCACGTACTAGATGGGCATTCAAATTGCAATAAACTGCGTGGGTGGATTCAGCTCTTCAGCTGAACTCACACACCTTTGTGTGTAAGGACAAAGGAAGTTATTTATACTACGAACATAAGTAAATGATTACTTAAAGAGATATATACTGAGTTAATCAAATGTTTTACTTT